GACATTCTTGTTTTTATTAGAGAGACACTAAACTATTTGAAAATAATTTGAATAGCTGAAGAATTAGTGTATTTGCCTGTTCATGAGTAGTGTAGATAGTTTAGAGTTCTCTTGGGGGCAACACATCGTAATGAATATCTGCTATTCATATTTAATGCAATCTGCCAAAGAGTGCTTTTGGGAGGACTTTCTGTGTCAATATAATGATTAACAACAGAACTGGAAAAGTAAATGAATTCCTGCAACGGGTGGGGCTGACAAAAATATCTTGCAGGACTACACCAGTAACACTGGATTTAACTGTACTCTTTTAATGATACCAGTGGAAAATTCATTTCCCAGGGAGACGAAAAAAAAAAAAAAGAGTGAGCAATCTTACAATTGGAGTTGAAGTGGTAAACAACCAGCAGTAATAGAAGGAAAAACAATTTCAGCAGAAAACACCACTTGTAACAACAATCTGCCTGGCCTGAGGATGCCTGAAAGGCCCGAGATGCAATAATACTGGCTACTAAATATAATAATTAGTATTTACATAGCACTATCCATAGTAAAGCTTTAGTTAGTTCCTTGCCTACCTCTTCCAGCTCCTCAGATGATCCTACTTTCCACACATTTTGCCATACCTAAAAGAGTTACATAAAACAGAATATAAAGTCCTTTATTCTTTACAATGCACTTTTAAAACACCCCAGACAGAAAAGTATGCAAAAGCTTGGCTAAAATACAACAAATGACCTTAGTACAGATTTTTCCCGTTGACATCCCAACAGCCCTCTAAATAACACATTCAGGTTTTGGTGTGTTGGGGTTTTGTTTTGGTTTTTTTTTTTTTTTTTTTTTTTTTTGTAAAAAAAAAAAAAAAAAAAAAAAAAAAAACCCACTATCTGGATGAAGCAATCTCACTAAGCTTATACAAATTCAGGACAGTCTTGTATGAGGCTCACCATTCTCCCCTACCCCATTGCCAAGCTACTCCTACTCCTTCATCCTGGAAACAAATGAAGGCAGAATATTGAGGATCCAAATAACCACGTCAGCAGCCTCCAAGGACCAAAACATGGCAGGGGTCTAGAGGTGGAATATGGGATTGCCTCCGTCGATTGCCATGAGCTACGTGCATCGTTCAAGCAGGATGTCTGAAGCAGGATGCCTGAAGCAGGATGCTCAACCCAAGCAGAAAGGGAACAACTGCCAAAGTGTTTTATTATTTAGCGGCTCCCACAATGGCTACTGTCCAGACTCTAATTTGATCTGGGATACACTCGGGGATTATGTTCACCATAGCATTAGCTCAGACTAAGTTTTTTCCTCCTCGTGCCACAGTCTCCAGCTCACACCAACCGACTTCGTTATGTAGTGGTCTTCACCCATGTTAAACTGAAAAAATCTGACTATTCTGCTGCAGTAACATTACAGAAACTAGTCTTACAAAGATGCTCTACCAAGGAGCAGCACGGCTTCATCTTCCCTGTGCTGAGACTCACTTGCAAAACGGTAACACTTTGGTGTGCCTTGCAATTCCATCAGCCATAACATCAACACGGTATTTTCCTCATCAGTTTTCAGCTTTGGGGATATATGACGATGATCTGATCTGCGTGGCATTTACACACCTTCCTTCTCAAATTTCAGGTGGTACTTCACTTGATTAGGGTTTTTTTTTGGGGGGGGGTTAAGACTAAGTTTTATAACTAGTCTTTTTCTAGAAATTAAAAGTTGCAGTTACATCCACAACAGATGATTTCTATAGAACGTAAACCGTTCTTAAGCTGGTATTCTCACATTGTGACAGTTGCCTTGCTGGACTCTGGCAACAGCACTACCAGTGTTAGGTCTCATGATGGCAAGATGGGCCCCTTCTTCCAGGACTAACAAAGAGCAATGCCACCCAGATACCAGAATTGCCTGTGTGTGCCTGCATGACCGCTACTCACCTCCACCTAAGATGCTTTTCACTTTAATAAGATGCCGTGTAACAATCCTTGCCCATACTTATTTATTCCTCCCCCAAATATTTCACTGACATCTTGGGGTTTTCCTATTGCAAACATGTCAGACTCTGCAGGACTTTTGCTCAGCATCCATTTCCCACAGCCGCTCCCGGTCTGGCAGAGTGGAACCTTGTTGGTCTGAGACAGGCTGGCGCATGACCCAAAAAACACAGTAACACCTCCAGTTTGGCCTTCCCTTGCCATTTCTAAATGAACTAAGCAGCAATCTCCTGAAGAAATCTTTATTTTGTTTTGTTTTTCATATAGAGAAGCAATTCCTCATTATTAATGCAGGAAGGGAAGCCTGCATGCCATCTGATCTCAGGAGTGAAGACGTCTGCTTTGTGCCGTATGGAGTAATACAGTGGTAGGTAAATCAATCGGACTTATAAAAGTAACGATCTTCTTGACCGTGGTCTCGGTCAGTGCTAATGCATAATTCATGTATGCATAAAAGTGGTATTTTTTTATCTTCTGACCTCTTTAGCACTGTGACCAGCCCTCTAATTATTAAGTATTTTGCACTATGTATCTCAGTATAAAAACAGAAGCCAAGTCACAGGTCACAGAGGCAACACCATTATTAACATCAATGAAACTAAATCACTCCATCCTGAACTCTTATTGTAAGCCCCCTGTGCTCACAAAATCAGTATGTCTAAAATACTGTTGTCTTTTTAATGGGCTGGAGATACCTACCCCAGCTGTAGATTAAGGTAACTTAATGCAACTTGATATAAGACCATCATGGAAAGTCTAAAACCAAGACAGAACAAAATAAAATAGGACAATAATACGAAGGCTTAAATGATTGCAACTTTGAACAAAAGCTGTTGAATTGCATTGTTTTAAAAAGATTAAAGAGATCTTCATAGCTTTCCTATTATGTAAAATAATTTCTATGGGATTTTGCATGAACGGAAAGAATCTAGAAGATAAACAGTACAATAGCTTCAAGCATATAGAGAGCAGTGGTTTTGTCAAACTTTGATTTCCTCAGGTCTTCGCAAGAGAGTTCTATATTCTTCCACCACCCAGTATAAGTTCTAATTTAAAAAAAAAAAGCCATCAGCCACACTGACCTCAGCCGAAGCGTGACTGAAATATAACCCAAAGCTCAACTTGCTTGCTTCCAAGCACTTGTCTCCATAACTCTTGCGATATTAGCCTCAAGCTCCAGATTCAGAAGTCTACAGGTTTTGAAACAAGACACACTGTCACCACCAAAGGTAGAGAAGCAGAGTCATACAACCCAGAAGAGTCATCATGCAGGGGACTGTGTCTGAAAAGAAATTCTCATTCAAGTCACTCTCCTCCCTATCTTGCCAATTTTAGCTGGTATTTCCCAACACTACTGCCTCGAGCTATGCACAACAGCTGCCAGGATTTTATGCTCAGTCAAGGCGAGTCAGTGCTGCAAGGCTCCTCAGCAACGTACTGCCCTGAAAATGCCGGGGCCAGGGCATAGAGATGCAAACCCCAAGATTCAGAAGTAGCCACTTCTTTTGCATATGGGCAGAAAATCATACTTAACACTACTCTTTTGAAAGGCTGAGCACTGACAGGTTTATTAATCATTAATAACGCGTTTGCAACACAGTCTTAACTCCACAGGAACAACTTGTGGAAAAGAAAAATTCTGCATATCTGATCATATACATTTAGTATTTACCAATGTACGCCTCAGGAAAGGTTCCCATTAACTAATAACACTATTCCTTCAACACGTGAGCGTTCTTGCAATATTGGGGGATAAATTCAGTACAGTATTCTGGTAATTAACCAGGATAACATCTGACAAGATTGGAAAGTGTTTTGTTTTTCACCTCCAATAAAAATAAATACTCCGCAACAAAACAGTGCAAATAAAGGCCTGACCTGATTATACCTCTTCCCATGGTTGGCTGGATTAAAACTGTCCACGCTAACTGGGGAAAAAAAATTGCTTTACTTCAAGACTGCCCAGTCTTCAAATATGGATGTGTGAAACACAAAGCCAGAATTAGTATTAGGCAGCACAAACCCCACAACTATACTCTTCAGAAGTTTTGTCTTCACTGCGGTTTCCCGTTCATGTTTCAAGCTTCACATGCTTTCTGTTGAAAGATGTATTAGCAACACTGCTACAAGAAGGCTCCTTAGTGTGGTAGTTGTGCAGATTTGCTGTTCAGTCAAGACCTTTATGTATTGAACAATCTCAGTAACGTATTTAGACAAGCACCTTCACAACAAACTACCCTGCAAAGCTGTATACATTCTGGTTTTCCTCACATTGGTGATAAATACATCAGTCACGCACTGCAAAGACCTCCAGAGATGCATCTTGTCTATGTGATGCCATTTAAAGAGTTTATACCTGGGACAGCTTTGTTTGGAGCCACCTAAACATACATAAAACTAATACCAAGTCAAAACATGTGTGTTCATTGAAAAGGGATGAAAACGAACTTGCCGGCTAATACACCCAGCAGTGCTGAAAACGCGAGTGCCGCATGTGGAACCCAACCATAGACTCCAGGGTTCATTCTGCAGCCACGGGCAGCTCACAGCTACTCGCTGTCTGCTGGGCTGCTCCTCACAAGCTGCCCAGGAAGAAAGCAGTTGCTTACAGAAGAAAACAAAAGCAGTATTAACAACAGCACAACTTAAGAGAATTCTGTACTGGGAATCATCACTGTTCACGAATACACAATGGCCAATTTCTCTTTAAACACAACATCAGATTCTGCAGCTAACACAATAACGCAGGACATGCCAAAATCCGTAGCAGGTTTTATCACCCCCTGGTTTCCACTGCTTTAGTATGTCATGTAGTTGCATATTTATTTTTACAAAAACAAGACTAAGTGAAAATGGTATTTGAAAACAAATGCATGCTCTTTGCCCAAGTAAAATGAATCAGAGATGAAAAACTGCAATCACTCTTAAAATAATTTCAGAATGAACGCTATCAGTCTTTGTTAGAGGAAAACCGGTCAATAAAAGCTATTAATCCCAAGCACTTACTTGCAGGTGATGGGGTGCTGCATCCGCTGGTTGGTGGGTGACTCTGGAGCCCATGGAGGGAAGGCAGCGACAGTCCACCGATGACTGGAGGGAAAAGCAATGGATATGGCGCTGCTGGATAGTGAGTCATATGTCCATTCACTGCTGGTACTGGACATGTGCGGCTGCTGGTTGTCATGTTAACACCTCACAGTGTAGAAATATTATGTTGCATCACTCCAGGCCAGCAAATAGATCCCTCAACTTGTGAATGCAAGCCTGCAGGTAAGGCTTGAGCTGGATTGTGTGATGATGAAACGGTAATTCACCAGATCAGGTCCGTCCTGTATTTCATGGCTGTT